GTTTCCAAAACTCTCTCTCTCTCTCTCTCTCTCGCCTATTGTGTGTCGCTCGCGAGCATTATCATCTCGTGTAAATATCTCTTCTTCTGCGCGCGATATACCGCGCTATAATTGTTATTATCGAAGCGCGCCCGATACAGTTCGCATGAAACCGGGGTCTCTGATCGGGCTCGCCTTTCAGAATGGCCTCTAATGCACGATACTTTAGGGCACTAATTAATATTTAATGGGACAATATCGCCGCATAATCGGCTCAACTATATTGCACAAAGCATTACCGTAACCGCATGGCCTAAAACCGCGATTCAATATCGTTAGGCAGCCGTGGTGGACACACACGCGACGTTTCTTCGCCAACGCCCGGGCTGATCCTTAATTGCTTTGCATGCGTTCCACCGTACATCGTGTGTCCCATACAAGAGGGAGAGAGAGAGAGAAGGGGAGGGAGCTCGTTCCATCCGAGCCGCCGTTAATTTTGCATTACGTAGTTTTGTTTAACGCGACGAAAGAGGCGATGAAACACATGTCGAGCATTATTCACGACCGTTTCTAAAGTACTGAAGTACGAAGTGCTTGCTATGTAAACGAGCGACTGTAGGGGGAAGTTAAGAGCTTTATTCCACCGAGCGAGGCAAACCGCGATACCGTGTGCAGTCGCAGAACGCGAGCAAAACACGAGTGTAATGAGCGTTAAACTTTCTTTCGGCGCTCTTGATTAAGCCGGGGGAGATGCTGGTCGGTGAGAGACGACTCCGCGTTGCTCGATTGATAACTTATTCGTACAGAAGATCCCACTAATGCTGTCCCATTCCTTGGGCGTAGTAACATTGGACATTTCCAATTAAGCGCGTTATTTCTGAATATTTGCGCGTCACGACGGCTGTTTTGCAGCGTCGTTGCGGATTCATCGAATTACCAACAATCGTGACGCATGAATGTTTATAAGGACAAACACCTTGTGAGAAAATGTGACGAAGGGGGGAGAGGGTAAAAATACTCGAATTTCGCGTGACGCAATGATTTGAACACGTTGACAAGGCGAATGTGTTAATTTAATATTACATTTTAACACGTTAAAGTAACACAAACTTTCGATGTGTCATTTTCAACGCAGAACTTTTTGCCGTGATTACACCTGGGAAACGGGACAGCATAAATGGAATATTCCGTACGCTTCCCGTGGGAGACTTCACGACGATAAGTGTTTCGACATTCCCGGGAACTATCGTTATTACCTCACACTCGTATTTGTCTTTCTCACTCTCTCCTGCAATCGGCATCCTGAAACGCGTCTAGCTTCCCCGTTTGCGCTTTGACATCGCGACCGGCGTAGACGGCGTGTAACGGCGCGAATGTAACGAAGCCGTCACGATAATTTCCGCGCTTGCGAACTACTTCATCAAATACTCTTGCATAAATCAAAGTTAACTCGGCGGAGGGACAGGGGGGTGGGAAGGGGGTGAGATACACGCGGCCAAGATCCGCATGCGAGGGAATGCTCTCGTTTCTATTTACGCGTACGCCGCTTTACATCGTGTTTCACGCTTGCTGACTCGAAAACTTCGCGGGGGACTTATCTGCCTCGACAGGATCGTTGGTTTTTCGAAGTCACGCTCACACGTACACCCACTTATCGCGGCTGGAGTTTACCTTACCAAGTCCCCAGAGGCAGATTGCAGGATATTACTTTGCCGACTTCGTGATCCTACATCCCTTCTCCCTCCCTTTCGCCTCTCCGTCCGCCCGTCTACCTCCCTCCTTTTTGCCCCGTGTACTTCGTGAGTTCCAACTCGACCTGAAAGGAACGCAAAGGTTCATTTCGTTCTCGGTTGCTGTCAAGCAGTCTGAAGTAGCGGCGCATTTCGCTATCCTGACGTCGGCGTTACACGTCAGGCCCGACGTTACAGATGGGCAATTAAAGTGTTACAAGCTACCCCCCGCGAAGTGCTTAGCGCCGGCGGAATGCGTTGTGTTCACCGTAACCGAGGAGGTATTCTCCCCCCCCCCTCCCCCTTCTTCCCCTATTCTTCTCTGCATTATCCCTCGCGTGATCCGGCGGCACGTTATTAGAGAGCCGTTTCGATTCCGGTTTCGATCCAAGCGAAACTACGGAATCGGGGATCCGGAAGACCCCCGGAGTGGTGAAATCGATCGGGCCCGCAATCGATTCTCACGTGATTCTCCTCGAGAGACCGCGCGCAGGGCTGTCGACGGATCGTTAAGGACCTTTTCCCCTTTGTTCGAAGTCTCCGTTACTTCGAGACGATGATCAATGCGAAGGTGTTACAGCGACGGGTACGAGGCGGTATGCGCATCAGTCAGCGGCATGACGCCGCTACAGCAGCAACAAGCGTGCAATTACTCGAAGAAACAAGAAGCGTTTTCGGTCTATCGGGCGTAAAATGCGAGTGGAAGTTTAAAGAGAAGCGGCAGCGCGGGACCGCCTCGATTAGAGTGAGCGCCGCGCCTTTGCACGGCAAATAAACGGTGAAATTATACATTGTTAAACGACGGACAGTCTGAAACGGCGCGCGCGCGCATGACGGTGGTCTATTTTTGAAGGCGGCTGCGCGGTGGAAGAAAGCCCCTTGAATAAAACATATCTACCGGCGGGCATGTCCCGGAGTCTCACGCGTTCTTTCTCTCTCTCTCTCTCTCTCTCTCTCTGTTTCGTCGTCTTGCCTTCTCCATCCTCCTCCACTCCTCCCCTTCTTTTAGTCCTTACGCCTTCTTCTCCGCCTCCTCTTTTTTCATCCGCCGTTAAACATCCGCTCGTTCTTTAACGCGCGAGATCATTCCGCGTGCAACCCTTTATTAAGCCAGCACTCCCTACATGAAAAATTGAAATGCGAAGTATACCAGAATGAAGCGCTAATTATGTGCTGTTATTTAGTGCTGCACTCCCGGCTTTAATGTTCGAGCATTTGTGCGGGAATTTGCGTTTGAAAGTGGAAGAGCTAACCTGTGTCAACCTGGCGGTTTTATTTCTCGGAAAGACAACCGAATTAAAGGTGTATACATCAAAATATAGTGTTTTTTAAGGATTGGCGAGAACAACAAACAACATTGAGATATCTGTGTTTTAAAAAATGCGAGTCAACAATAAGGAGGTCTATTCTCTGTTCTCTACATTCGTGAGAGTAAATTGGCTGTCAGAATCAATAGAGCGCAAGTCGCTCTCATAATGATAATTAATTAAAATATATCCCTTGATTTATATTATATTATATTACATATTATACAAATTTTATATTGTATTGTATTCTAATTATTTTACAAAGATTATATATTTACGTCATATTGTATCATATAATATTATGTTGAGTGGTAACATATTATATCTATAAAAAAGTTAATTATTTTATTAAAATACGATACTTTTACTTTTCATTTAAGTTCCTTCCTTTCCATCTTTTTCTGTGAAAGTCTATCCGAACTGGGAAATTGAACATTTTTCATCGTTTGATTTATTATTGATTTATGTTATCTGCTCGAAAAAAAATTTGGGACCGCCTAGCTTGTCATTGACTTGTACTCCTTAAATTAGTTTTTAAATATTCCTTCGCCCATTATATTCTCCTAATACAAATTTGCGAAAAATTCTCCAAAAAATCAGAATTTTCACACTTTGGTATGTGGGAAATATAATGAAAAGGGAAATGGGAGAAATAAAGAGAGAAACTTGGTGAGAACGTGAAACTGAGAGAATCAATCATGTGATATTTATTTAAATTTTATTACAACGTAATATAATATAAATTACAATTTATTATAACGTAATATAATATAAACTACAATACAATATAACAAAATATAATACATTACACAAAGTAATATATTATAATATAAAAATAATATGTTGTTTGTATATACGTGCCACGCGCGCTATTTTAATTCTAATGCTTTATTTTCACGAGGATGGAATATAGGTTTTCTTTATTGACTCGTGTCTTTTAAACTAAGATAAATATCTCAGATTTTCTCGGTTGCTCTTTGTAGCACCTAAGGGCGCTAAATTGTGACGTATATATCTTTTAGTTCGGTTGGCTTTTCAAGTAGTGGTAATGCCTAAAGGTTGGCGTAAGCCACTACCCCCATTTTCAAAGTGAATTCTCGCTAAACTACTTGAATACTAAATTCGGAGATACGTCACTAAGTTAGCATCTAATTTACACTTAATTCAGATGTAGCTCCCATTTTGTTCTTTTGTGTCGGTACCAGCTTAACAGAGGTCGTACCCGCGGGTACCTAAGTCGTTAATAGTCTCGGGTACACTTCTCGGGTACACGCGGATACGACTTCTTTAATTTAATAGTATACGTCCGATAAAATTCAGGACATCCAAGAATTTCTCTAACAACGTTTGCGATCGTGATCGAACGATTGTCGAAGAGTGTGTCACGATTATCAACAGCATACCTCCCCGCAATTCGCGGACGTGATACAATGCGACACATTGCGTTCGGGAACAATGGGAAATGACGTTTTGCGAATACGTTTTACCTTGTTTGTCATCGAAGGAACTTAATAATAATAATATATTTTATTGGACGTGCAACACTCCTTACACATGGCTGACAAACTTACGATTAATACACGAATTATACAAGTATATGCTAGTTACACAACGAAAAGGCGTATTAACTTTTACAGCCGCACCAACTGTTACCAAAGTTTTGCCTCTCCATCTCCCTAAAGGAAAAATGAATGAAATAAAATAAAGTAATTGAAAAATAATATACTAATAATAATACTACACATAATATATGGCATAATAATATATACCTGAATTTAAATCGCCCGCAATCTCTCACGGAAACTCACATCAAGCTCCGGTCTTGATCGTAACATATCAGACGCGGTCGGATCTCACGACGAAAGTTCGTATCGATAGATTTAAAGTCGCGAGCGTAGACGGCGTCGATCGATCGATCGTAAAACGTTCCCATCGATGGGCGCCGTTCACTGACAAATCGCCCGATTAATTCTTTTTCCCTCAGGCTCTGACAGCAAGGTGTCGGACGTTGATGGACAGCCCTATACAACGTTGCTGTACAGCAACGGCCCGGGTTACACACAGCCGCGGAACATCCTGCGGGAGGCTGGGAAAGATTCCATTCAGGTAAGGGTGGCCCCCATTCTCATTTTCGCACGCACGGAAGGTAGTTTCGCCGGTGTTTATTGGATCGGGGAATGATCGAGTGGCGAGATCGAGGCCGCGCTCGAAAATCCATCACGTACCACCGCTGTTCCAGCCTCGTGAAATATTCGACCAAACACTTCCGGCTGCCTACTGCCAAGCGTTCCCTCGATCATCCCGCAATACCGCGTTCGACCGCGCGGACGCCGTGAATTTTTAATCCCCACGCGAAAATTAGACTCTCGCGGAATTGCTCAGAGAAGACGTAATGATAGATAACGCGGTAGTTCTCCGTTCCGCGAATGTAACTCTCACATTTAGATCTCCTTTCCGTTATCGCGTTATAATTTTTCCACGTTAAATTATTTCGTGGAAGATCGGATTAATGTCAGAAATTTGCATATTTAATTGGCGGAAAGGAGATATGGCGAGTGCATATGAATTTCACGAAGGGACTCAGCGTCATTGTGAATCCCCTTACGATGACATTAATTCCTCTTCTCGGAATTTTGAGTGAAACGGGTCCTCTCAAAGAAAAATATATGTAACTACACGGAAAAAAAATATTGGGATCAAGTAAACGTAATTATCTGTTTTCCAGCCTCTTAAATCAAGTAATATTTCTATCAAATTATTTTAGCTCGCAGAAATGTTTGAACGCAATAATATCTTAATTTGTAAATGAACTATTGGATGTAAATGTAAAATGGTTCTAAATTTAAGAGAGTATTTATTAGAATTATGCAATAGTTCTTTTCCATTGGAGAAACCTAGTACTGGTTTAATACTGTAAACAATAGAAACGGGCCAATGTTGTAGCAGTACTGAAAATCAATAACAAACATCAGTATCGAAAATCGGTACTGTAATTATTTATGAAAAATATTCTTCATAATTTTTAGAATATTCATTATAATTTTTCTCATATCTGAACTCCCTGGACATTTGAATATTTATAACAAATATTTAATATCTACATATTTAAGTAATATCAATATATTTAAAATATCTTATAAATATTGTATGCTATTCAGGCCAATACTGAACCAGTACCAAGGCATAACATCCGCTTTTCGATACCGGCTTAATACAGCGTTTTTTTCAATGCAGGTAAATTACCGTATCTTTGATCATGTTCGAACGAAGGTTTAATGAAGACAGTCATGTTTCATTCTTGGTTTACTTGTTTCCCTGCGTCTATCTGCTGGCGATTCTGCCCGCTCTCCTCGCTTATCGATTTAATTCTCCTTTGCCGACGTATCTCTGTGAGAGTTTGTATTTATTCGTTCGATTGCGTTACATCGCGCTGACGCATTCTCCGTGCGGATTTTCGTGTATCGCGCGAATATTTACACGACGATTTAAATTTATAGTAATCCGTAAACAAAAATATTTCGTCGCGTGCTTTGACCGGCATTCGCGACTCCTCGCGCGAGTTCTCGCCTAGTTTCATTCCATTTTGTATTTATAATCTATCGGGCGGATATCTCGACGCGAGTATTTGCATCCGCCGAATGTTTACACGATGGATATTACTTGACGCTGTTGAATTACAGGGACGCGCGGAGCGCGGGCTAGATCATTTCGCGCTTTTATTCGCATTCCGGTTTTACATTATCATGCTAAACACGTGCGTGCAGTAATTTAGCTCCTGATACGGCGGGCGTGGATTTCAACAGATCTCGCGCGCGCGCCCGCACAAATCCCGCGCGCTGTATATTACTTTTCCGTTTTGTTATCTTACGTAATCGCGATATATCACACCACTTCAAATATTAATGTAACAGATAGTATAATCACACGTATACAAGCGCGCACACACACATACACACACACACATACGAAACACATAGCACGTACCAAAACTCTTCTTTCAGGCACGTAATTATATTTTTCTTTTTCAGCAGGAGATCTCTGTAGCTTTTATTTAACAATGTAGATTGGCTACCGTAGCTTGGTTCGTTCACCGTGTGTATAACTAATTAAGAAAAGAAATGTCGTGTGTGTGTGTGTGTGTCCGCGTCGGCTTTAAAAAGATTCGCGTGTCGTGTCGCAGAACCTCATCTTCCCGTGCGTTTCTCCGACGTAACCTCAGTCGCAGCTTCGACTTTTCCCAGATACTTAATATCGAAAAAGTTACAAAAGAGATATACACATAACAGTCTCCAGTCATTTTTCCGCTAACTCAGCGAAAATGTTCATAAACGGGACGAAAGGGCGTTCCGCCTCTTCCCTCGGTCGCTCCCCCTCTTTGCCCTCCAGCTTCTCATGCACTCCGTGCACCGTGGGGCTCGTTATCGCGTATCCTCGTGAAATTAAAAATCCAAGCTCGGCAGGATTACGAGGTGACAATCCGCGCGATCCCGACCGCCGCGGAGCGCATTGAGAAAATTCGTTTCCGAGCAGCGCCATAAAGGTGTCATCTGGTGGCTGGCTGTCCGCGCATGATTATTCAATTTCTCGAGATGCTGAACCGCCGACG